CAAATATGGCTTGCCGGCCCACTGGGTGATAAAAAGTTTGTGATCCGGCCCCACATTCAAAAAGGTTGGACACCCCTGCATTAGAAGGTTTCTCTCTTTTCATCAGAACTTTGAAGGAGGAGAAAAAAATAAATCTCACACCCACCCACCCACACACTCACCCTATTAAGACAATAAAAGAGTTGTATTTGCCTGTACTGGCAAATGATGCTGTAGAGAGAGGATATGTGGTAGAAGGTGGAGTTGTATACAGATGAATAGTGTTCCATATTCTCGGTTTTTACCAGTTTGGTTCCTCCCGCACTGATAAATTCCCTGATTTAAAACATTTGTTTTTTAAGTTATTCATTTTTCTTACTCATTTTTATACCTGCTATTCAGTTCAAATCCCTGTTAACTGGCTGCTGGCAAGCTAAAAGTGCCGCAGTGCTGGTTACCTGAGGCACAGGTTTCTGGCCAGAAGTTGAGGGGTGGGGGGTGGCGACCAGGGTGGGGGCTGGAGCCGCTGCCTGGGGGTGCGGGGTTCCCGGCCCTGACTCCAGGTGGGGCGGGCCACTGAAATTGCTCCTAGGGTGGGCGGGTCCCACCTGCACCCCGGCAGCTCTGGCTTCAGCCCTGCCCTGAGCCCTGCTGGGGGAGGCAGGCAGGAGAGCTCGGCCCCACTCCCAGCAGCAGGGGGCTGCACCCAGGCACTCAGCACGGGCCCATGAGGTTGGAGCTGCTGCCCGGGGCCACAGGGCTACCAGCTCTGACCCCAGGCATGGCAGGAGGTGCTGTGGTTAGGGTCGGGTCCCCCTCTCTCCTGGTGCTGCCACACGCCCCTAGCACTAGGAAGAGCCCGGTGCCGCTGCCAGCCCCAGCCTGCAGTGGTAGTAGGCTGCAGTGGTAGTAGGCTGCAGTGAGAGCAGGCTGCTGTCTGCCCTGAGCACCAGGAAGAGCCTGGGGCCAGTGGCGGCACCGGGAAGAGCCTGGTGCTCGGGGAGGGCAGCAGCCTGTTCTCGTCCCATTCACAGATCCGGGACTGACAGCTCCCATTGCTTTGTTCCCTGCTGCAGCCCCGGGAGTGGTGGATGGAGTGTGCCACACCCCTCCCCCCACCCCTTCCCTAGTCCCAACCTTCTTCCCTGCCAATTTTCCCCTGATTTAAATCAATTTTTCCCCTTTTCTTCCTTTTACCCCGTTTTCCTCCCAATTTTTATGTTTCGAAAATAACCTTGAAAAATTCCTGGATTTTTTTCTTTAAATAAAAACCGAGAATGCGAAACATTACAAATGAAGAATATACTTCCATGGTAGAACTAAAAGCATGGCCTCCTGTATCTTGGTGCTGATATTTCCTTCTCTGTTTGAATGGATGAAAGTCCAAATTTGTGCTAGTTGTGACTGTTAGATTGCCCCCAAGGTCTCCCACTAAAAGAATATTTTAACTTCAGATTGCTGAAGATTAGTTTTTCTTGGAGTTGTAGTTGCCTACAAAGCTTATCTGGGGAGACCTCTGTCCCTGGCTCTTCGAGTCAAAATCTGCCATTTATTGCCTACCTTTTTTAGTTTATGTTAAAGACTCTCAGTTCTGGCCAAAAGATGGCAAAAGTGCTACTGAAAACATCCTGGCTATTCACTCCAATCTCAAATGGAAGCTTCATTTCTATTTCAGATGTGGGCAGCAAATGAGATGTAACCTAGTGTGTAAGACTTGGATACATTAACTTCTGTTTGGGCAAGATCTTTATTGGACTTCATAACAGGAAGAAATAAAGATCAACATGGCTTGTCCTTATTATATTTTTTTTTTTTTTTTTTTTTT